AGCCCGAAATACACGCCGGTTGTGAGCTCCTCCGTCTCCCCCTACCCACTTCCCACCCCCCGGCAGCCTTGCCCGGGCGAGATGTTGCTGCCATGTTGCATCAGGCAGCGTACGCGGGAAGCCATTGGCCGCCTCTTCATTCATCCGCCTCTTTCTCTTTCGCTAAAGCCCGTTCCTGGGTAACGTTAGTAGACGGGCCAAAGCGACGGATGAAAGACGCCTGGTCTCCTGGGTCGTGGCGGGGGGCGGGGACACGGGGGTAACAAAGGCAGGGATCGATGGGGGAGTGGGCTGAGACGATGAGCACAAGGGCTTTTGAGGCTTTTGACATTGACAGAGACGCGGGCCAGGAGGTCCAGACGTTCAGTGGAGGGGGATTAGACAGAAAGGGACTGACACGTGGCACGGATTGTGGGAGACTCCGTGGAAGAGCTTCGAGGGCAAATGTAGGCCGTAGGCATTTCTCGCCCCCTGACACTGTCTCTGGGTTATTTTTCTTTAACTCATTTTCATCTACCTGCCCAGTCAGAATCAGGCTTCTGAAGAAGAGTAAAATTTTGGCTTCACTTGTAAACGAGGTGTGGGTTCTGGACTAGAATAGTGAAAGTTGAGTCAGGACAGTAGTAACACCAGACCAGTTATCACATGAATACTTAAATGTGTGTTGATATGCGGTTTGCCTGCTGTATTTTTTTCATTCACAGTGTTGCATGGTCAGTTTCTTCTTGGGCAATAGTCGAGCTCATTTATATTCTGCTATTTAAGACTTCTGAATTTTGAAGTGAAAGTCAAAATTTAAAGTTATACCTTGAATATGTCCCATTATAAATTATATATCCCCTCCTGAGGTTGTGATCGTTCTAGCTTTGTGATCTTTTTGCATATTCTCTTACCTGTCATCTAGAATAACGTACACCTATTTGGGTGTAAGTCCTACTGGATGTAATAACACTTATTTCTCCTATTACATACGGCAGTGACATAATGTATGAATGTCATCAAGCAAAATTTATACTACAGATGAAAACTGACATTTGAGAAAAATTAAAAATATAATAAATTAGGTTATAAAAGTAATAGTGACTACTGTATATTTAAACATTTCTTTTACATGGCACAGATATTTTTGTGGCATAAACTCCTAATGGAATTGTTAAATGTATTTCTTTTTAAAATCTGAACTGCCACAGTCAGAGTAGGGTGTAGCTCAGGAGCATTTTATGCTTAGTCATGGAATTTCTAGGTGTGTAATTTTAGCTTGTCATTCTGCATCCAAAAAAGACTGTAGGGTAGATTGTAATAAATAATTTAATTTTGCCTGCAGTGATGCTCCTTAATTATATAAAATGTTGAACTTTCAGTATTGTATTCCATATATTTGCAAATATTGCCACATTAAGTAATTGTTTAGAAAGATGACATGCTACCTGACTTTCTTGAATTCAGTTCAACTTCTGGTAATACAATGTGTAATTCTCTTGGCAACAAGGTGGAAGTGGTTTGCCATCTTTTGCCATCTAGAATTTTTTCCCAGTCTGACTTATAGCCCTGGGATTTCTCAGTGGTCCCCCATTAAAGTATTAACCAAGGCCACTTGTGCTTAGCTTTTTTCAAAATCAGCTATCATCTGATGTTGCTGCTGTTGTGCTTTTGTGGGGAATTGTACATTGAAATCTGGAGTGGATTTTTGAGAAAGAGTTGACTTGGAAATTTAACACATCTTTATTACATCCACATAACGATACTGTATTACAGTAGGGTAGTTTCTTATGGTAATCCAAGGATTACAAGGATTTTTCAAAATTGTTTACAATTTTGGAATTTGAAGATTTTCCAAAACAGTCTGTAACTTTTGCATACTTGTACAAGTCCCTGGAAGCTTCAGTAAGTTTTTGGGAACTTTCCATGATGCCAACTTGGTATTCTAGGCCTCAGCTTCAAATCCCAGCCATCACTGATGCTCGGTAGGCCCCATTTTGGGATTCTCTTGGAAATTACTCTTGTTTTTTCTAAAAAAAAGGAGGCTTAGATTCCCCTGCATCATTTCTCCTCCCTCAGTCCATCCCCAGGTTACCACAGCTGTCAGCTTTCTCTTTTACATGCAGAGTGTACCTATTCAAGTCAATGGGTCTTACTCCATAGGCCCCTGAAGTTTAATTTATATATTTATTTGACAATATTTATAAACCAGACCATTCTCACTGACTTTGAATAATTTATGTGAACAAATTGGCAAATGATTATCTCAGTAATTAAAACAAAAACATACCCAACATGACTTCAGCAGGAACACAGCAATTTTCAGTCCTCTTGGAAGAAAAGAGAAGCTTTTTGATTTTCCTTTCTTCCTGGCAAGTAAAAGCTCACTGCAGCCTATCAGTTAAGTTGGCAGACTTTCCAGGACATTATGGAGGGCATGGAAGCCATGGTGCACTGCTCTGGCAGTTTTGGAGGGCTACCTTTGCTTTAAGTTTTAGTCCTTGTCTTCAATACTGAAAAGGTTGTTGACAATTTGTATTGTGTTAATGTTTTCCTGACTGGTAATCTTCAGGTAAAAGAGGAAATGCTATGAGAATTTTTTTTGAACTATGTCTGTGAAATAAGCCTTCTTGTAATGCATTTTAGGAACTTTGCTGACTGTAGAACATGTAAAGGATCATGTTAAAATTTCAATTGAAGAAGGCAAAGAAACCATTCTACGGATATCTGAGTAAGTTTTTGTGTCTTTGCTGTTATTGCTTTTAAAAATCACTTAATATAATACTGATGCTGTTAAAAAGAAAATGGAAGAGAGACTGTGTTTATTATCCTTATTACATTTCTTAATTCTTGCTTATCATTTCTGTATTGTAAAATGACTTTTACATATACATCTCTGTTTTTCTTTTCTTTCTTTCGCTAAAAGCCCTCAGTTAAACTTTGTTCAGATATCTGTGGCAATTTTTATTTCTTTTCTTGGAACACTACTGTTGAACTGACATTAGAGTCTAATAATGTTTTTGTAAATTCTCCCTTTCATCAATCAGTGGTATAATAGTTGCCGTGAGCTCTGGTAGACTGAGATGAATTTTGAAGAGCAGAGAAAATAAGATTCTGAAACTTCTGTGAGACTAATATGGACAGTTATATGTTGAATTGTACATCTAGCGTGCCATTTCTTTTCAGTGTCACCTTTCCATTCTTTAGAGAGAGATGAGATCTCAGTGTTGTGTGTTTCCAGAAACTGGTCTGCTGTAATAGTGGTAGAGGAAGAAGTCCTTTGCTTTTCTTATATGCCTTTTTTCAGCTTCTGACTTTAGCCTAAGCCCTGGCGATCTCCCATCTAATTGCTAACTAGGTCAGAACCTGCTTACCTTTTCAAGAGGACAGTTAAGTTCTGCTACCTAGCTTTGCTTAGCAGCTGCATAGGTAATAGATTATGCTGCATTGAAACTGTTATCCTTTCCATTGTGAAAGAATGATACAGACTTTTTAAAAGAAATTGAAAACTGTCTTAGGTAGAACAAGAGGGTAGAAGGATGTGACCTGTGGGTAATGAAACAATGAACACTTAATAACTTTTTTTGAACAGGTATACAGTTCATATCAAGCACAGATGAACTCGCTAAAATTAAAATGTTAAAAATAAAAATTGATTCCAGATTTGTTTTATGTCCCTGAGAGCTCCTTTAGGTTTGCAGAAAATGTTCTTTGTAGGAGACTTTTGGGATTTTCACTCAATCCTGTAGTCTAAGATAATGCATATAAAACCTTTAAAATTCCTTACCACCCCAGGAAGATGAAAGGGAGGAAGAAGTGCTGTGTAAAATCCAGTCACGTGGTTTACATGGAAACTTACTGATGTAAATCATTTCTGGAAAGTATAGTACAGTAATTACATATTTTATTCTCCTTTGTTTGGCCATTTTAGTTACATAAAAATGATTTTTTAAATGTGCCACAAAATTGTAAATCAAAAATGCAACATTTCACA